AAAGTTTATCTTTCAATCTATTATTATGTTTTTAATATATTATTGTTAACGAATATATATTGTCATAATTCGATATTGATGAAATTGGATAGAAAATTGGTTGAAATAGCTCGTAGGTTAGGCTCAACCCATAGGTCAAGCCACAACCAACTAGCTAGGCCTGGTTAGTAGACCAGGCCTAACCCACAAGCTAGGTCCAACCCAAAGGTTAGGCCCTAACCCGTAGGCTAACTCAGCCCAGCCTAATATGGTCAATCATGTGCGATGTACATGACTAGTCATGTTTAGTACACATTACCTGGCCTAGCTTAGTGTGGTGCATGCATAGTCATGTTTAGTACACATTACCACGGGCTAGTCCAACCTAGCTCAGTATTATTCAATTGTTAGGTTTGAGCTCAAACATTGATTGAACCAAACTAGATTTGATCAGTTATATCAATTCAAGGTGATTCCAAATTGGTTTGACTTATTCAAATTTGTTTAACTTAAATTAAACTTAATTTAGTCTAAAGTATACTAGTCAATAGTGGTTCTAGACCAACTAAATAAGGATTAGAGATCAGTTCAATTAGGTTTTAGTTAAATCAAGTTCAATTAGATCGATTGAACTAAGGTTTAAGTCAATTGAGAACTAATTAGTATTATTTGATATTAATTATGTTTGAAAAATATTTTAAATGAGTTATTTCATCCCGATATGGACATGACCAATATGAGATAATGTTATTTTCCTACCAAGGGCAGGTAGGGTGATTCCCTTCGGAGATTAACGGGCCATCAAACATGACGGTTGAACGATTTCTCCATATATTGTTAGGAGGAACGTGTTCCCACTTTGGTGACTGAGGGACACCACTCTATCCGTTGTTGAAAGTGCGATATAAGTTTGTCTATATCTGATGTTCAGAGAATATAAACTAATCCTATAGGATAAAACCTCTCTATCTACTGTTGGGGGGTGCTCTGTATTTGCTATATGCCAAAGGGATGATTAATTTTTTATCATGTATTGCTAATTTTTTTTTATAGGGTTCCTACTCAACATTGCTAATTTTTTTATTTTTTATTTTCAGAGCAACATTCTACTAGCATTAGATTAGATTCAAGTGGAGATCAGACTTTGCTCTATCACTAGGTAGAGCCACTTGGATGTTTCTTTGAGATAACATCACTATCTTCTTTAATAAATAACTTTAACTTATACTATGACGAATAAATAAATTATAATAAATATTTATAAGTTATGAATAAAGTGATGTATATTAATTTGGCTCTAAATGTACTTGTGGAAAGATTGGATCCTATAAAAAAAAATTTTAAGATGTGACACTTCATGTTAATACTGGCTTAAGCCTTTTTTGAATTTGCTTCAATTCTACATTGGTGTATCATGAAGTCCAAAAACTTTCCTGAACTTATACCAAATGCATACTTGATTAAATTTAGCCTCTAATGGTAATAAACGTTTCTCCAAAATCGCTATATGTGCATCGATAATGTGACTTTTAACTAATATGTTATCGACATAAAACTCTATGTTCTTTTCAATCTATTATTGGAATATTTTATTAATTATCCTATGATATATTACTCATGTATTTTAGGGTCCATTGATATGACTTTGTAGTAGAATAAGCCTTCCTCGGTGATAAAAATCATGTGGTCATCATCCTTTGGTTCCATTTTAGTTTGATTGTATCCAGAAAAAACATCTATGGAAGTTAGCAGCTCATGTTCGAAGATAAGAGTTAACAAGTTAGTCTATTGTTAGGAGGAAAAAATTATCTTTTGGGTATGCTTTGTTAAGATTGGTATAGTCAACACATATTCTTTATTATTCTTTTTGATGAGGACTATATTGGTGAGACAATTTGGATAATGAATTTCTTAGATGAAGCCAACCTGTAAGAGTTTTTCGCCTTTCTTCTTTATGACATCCAAGTGGTCGAAAGTAAATATTCAAGGTTTTTAATAGAAATCTTTGTATTCTGGATTTATGTTAAGTTGATGTTGAGTCACATAGCGCTTATCTGGGCATATCGCTAGTCAACCATATGAATACCTCCGAGTATGGTCACTTGAAGTTAATAAGTTTCCTCTTCCTTTCCCAAGTTGAGGTTGATAGTATTTTTATAGTGTGATATGACCGTTTCGGGTTTAGAGAGATTTCTTCCAAGGGTTCCCCTACCATAAGGTATAGGATTGACGATGAGAGATCTTAGGGTGATGATCTTAGGATATGACCATTTACAGTATCAACTTACTAAACTTATGATGTTCCTTTCTCTAGAAGTGTGATTGATGTTAGGTAGCATCATTTGGATTTCTTAGGGTTACTGTTAATCTCCCATTTTAGGTTGAAGACTTAAGTGTCATATAATAAGTGTCATATAGTAAGTCTCCCAATAATAGAATTATAGGTTGAAGGAAAATCAATCATTAGAAACTTGAGCTTTACTATCTTTGTGTGATTGTTAGGCATGAAGGTTACATAGATATTGATGATTCCTATCATGGTAATTGACTTCTTCGTAGAGCTAGTAAAGGTAGAGGAGATTGAGTTGAGGTACTTGCTCGATAGGTCAATTTTTTGAATGACATTATAATGCAATATATTAGTCGAGCTCCATATATCAATTAGGATCCTTTTAACCCATGTGTTTGTGTTCCTGAGGGATATCACCAATGCGTTATTATACTTCGGATCAAGGTACTCAGCCTCTTCTTTCATGAACACAATTGGCTAGTCTCCATTTGGACGGAACATCTTTAATTGTAGTTTCCTTACATATATCCTCCGAGTGGAAGAACTACTGCCCCCAACTATTGGTCAACTGTCACATCCACATGTCATGGTGTGAACTCTTAGAGGTCGGGGCCTTTAGTAGTCTATTCTCCAAAAATTTTATGAACATCTTAACATGAGAAGTGTTGTGTGGTGCAAACGCTCACTGAGAAGGGGGTTGATCTCTTTTTGGTTTATCATTTTTTAATATTTTTTAGGAGCTTGGGTATGTGATATTTTTTTCTTTTGTTGTTTTCTTAGCTTCAGCTTTCTTTTCGCTAGTGATAATTGACTCGGTAATAATATGTCACTGCTTCTTACAGTAATTCTAGAAAATTCGCTAGAAGCTAAATAATGACTTTATAACAAAACCTCGAGGTTTAAATGCCATTAATATATGCATTGACGAGGATAAAATGTGTCGGGTTAACGACTTATTGGACTTAAGGTAGTTGTGCAACTTTCTAAAGATTCCTTTTCTTATCAACTTATAGCTAATAGAAAAAGTAGTAGATTTTCTTCGAGAGTCTATAGTTTATTAAATTAAGCTCAAACTCCCTAGCTAATTGTCTTAAGAATGAAATTGTTTTCGAAGGTAACTTAGCAAACCATTTGTAAACAAATCCTCTTAAGGCGGTTGAAAAAGTCTAACTTATAAGGGAGCCTATCATCCCATATAAGCTTATTTGAGAATTGAATACAATTATATGTTCTGATGAATCGATTTTTCCTTTGTAGACATCCAACATGAGGAGTCTAAAGTTTTACCAAATGGATCCTTGTTTATATCTTTTATGAAAGGAGATTATAAATAGGGATATATTTTCAACTATTTTTCTGGTTTTATTTGTCTACAAATGTCCACCAATTATTGGTCTAGGTAGTCTTTGACTTCAATTATAAGGCCATTCGATTGGTTAATAAATTCATTCATAAATTCTGATACTGTAAATAAGACTCAATTTAAAGATACTGGCAAAGGAGGTGAGTCGGGCAGTACATAGGTCTAAGTCGGGAATAACTCTGCTTCTTGGCTAGGGATAGGTCCAGGTGACAGATTAGGAGTAGGAATAGGAGGGACAAATGTAAGTGAAGTTTATTAAACTAAATGGGTAATTTGAGGAAGGTATGGTATGACAGTTTGGACTATCCTTATCAGAACATGCATTTATTGAATTTGAGTATGAAAAATTTTCACAAGAATATAAATAGTTGTTGTAGGATGTGGTTAGATGAAATCGATTATTGAAAAAGTCGATGAAATTAATTTAAAATTATTAAAATTGAGATAGTTGCTACAAGAAGTGGGTTTTGTCCAGTTGAGACTCCCATCGGACCTTGATTTAGAATTATCAAAATTAGAGGATTCGGATCGGGAGCGTTCAAAACGATTAAGGTTGGGGGTTGAAAGTATGGGAGATTCAAGTCTTCAAGGTTTACCCGAGATGGTCCTACGGGATTTTCTTAAGACATAACAGTCAGCTCTCCTTATAGTGTCAATCTGTTAGAGATGATTTTCAATTACTTGAGTTGGAGACCAACTCAGGACTAACCTGATTTATTGTTCGAGTCGGTCTTTGCGAAATTCATCGTACTAATAGTCAAATAGATACCCACAAAACTAAGTTGGGAGCAATTTCGATAATGCCCCTCTAACGCTCAAGTTAGTACTCAAGTAGGTGGGTCAGACTAATCGATAGTCAAACTAGTCAAACAAGCTAAATATTATTATGTTGTCTTGAGTGTATCTGTATGACTCCCCTTTATAATAGATGCTTAATAGAGACGTTATATAGTTTGTTGGTTGTGACTAATCGTAATCACCCTTAATGATCATGGGTAGTTATGTTTATTTATTAGGTCACTTACTAACTTTACATAACAATTGTGAATCCAAGACTCCATACATATCAACCTTTATTATAACAATATTTATTATTATAATTATTTTATACCTAATCTAATATGACACCACACGAACAAGTGGTGCCATTTCTTCTCCAAACTTTTTTCTTTTTTTAAAACATATTTTATATGATTTCTTTAAAATACATAAATTTACATGGATATAAAATATATGTCAACATCTAAAAGAATAAAATCAACAAAGTCTGGGATGTAAATTATATGGCCCAAAGCTAAACATTAGCCCAAAGCCTACAGTCCAAAGCGCATCTAACCACCGACATCGTTCGCTTCTTTATACGTGACGCGTTAGAGTCATTCGCCCTCGACTCAACCCGAATTCATCGATGAGTCGCACACACGCAAGGCTTGCCTCCGCCGTCGAGCGCCCGCCCCGCTCTAGGGTTTCCCCCTCCCCCCTCTCCGACAACGACCGCCGCCGCTCCCGATCCCGGACCCCTCCGCCTCGCTCCCGTAGCCCCGACTACCGCCGCGGCGGCCACCGTTGGTCACCCTACCGCGATGGCCCGATACGGAACGGGAAGCCACCGGGCCGCGGAGACGACGACGACGACGACGACGATGAGGAGCTCAAGGGCCTGAGCTACTTCGAGTACCGGCGCCTCAAGCGTCAGCAGCTGCGGAAGAAGCTCAAGAATTGCATCTGGAGGGTGACCCCTAGCCCTCCGAGGAGCGAGAGGGAGCAATTGGAACCGCTCGATGAGTCTGATGGCGCCATAGTCGCGTCTCCTGAGGAGGAGGAGGAAGCTGAGGGCAAAGGGCGAAGGGATCGGAGTAGGAACTCCGAGGCCGACGGTTCGGATAGGAGCCCTTCCGATTCAGCTCCAGATGATTCCGAATCCGAATCGAGGAGCCCTCCTTCGTCGAGGAGGCGAAGAAGGGAGAGGAGGAGCAAAAGAGGGAGAAGCAGCCGGAAGAAGAGGTACTCTGATTCAGATGACGGAAAAGGCTCTTCCTACGAGGACGATTCGAGCGAGGAGGCACCAGAGCGCTCGAGCGACCAGAGCGAAGATGAGGAGGACAGAAAGCGGAGGAGGAGGAAGTCAGGAACGCGGCAGACGAAGTCGAAGAAGAGCGAGAGGAGTAACAGGAGGAAGAGAACGAAGAGCAGGGCAACAAGCTCGGATGATAGCGAGGACGAGTCCGATTCTAGCCCTATACCCAGGGGAAAGGCCTTACGAAAGAGCAAGAAACGGTCTAAGAAGTCTGACACACCCTCGGATTCGGAAGCTGATGACGGGCCTGCTGATGCCAAGAAGCCCGAAGTTGATCCTGAGGCTCTCAAGTTTAAGGAGATGATCGAATCACAGAAGAAGCTTGCTTTAGACAATGAGCCTTTTGTTGGGCCGGCACCTCTCCCACGTGCTGAGGGACATATCAGCTATGGTGGTGCGCTGAGGCCTGGAGAAGGTGATGCTATTGCCCAATATGTGCAACAAGGGAAGCGTATTCCAAGGAGAGGAGAGGTCGGGCTGTCCGCAGAGGAGATACAGAAGTTTGAGGACTTGGGATATGTTATGAGTGGCAGCAGGCATCAGAGGATGAATGCCATCCGTATCAGAAAAGAAAACCAGGTTTACAGTGCTGAAGACAAGAGGGCACTCGCTATGTTCAACTATGAAGAGAAGGCAAAGAGAGAGCACAAAGTGATGGCTGATCTGCAGAGGTTGGTCCACCGCCATATCGGCCAGGATGTGGGCCCAACTCACGACCCATTTGCACCAAAGACTTCTGATGCAGCTGATGATTGAATCCAGTATAAATGTGTTTTCCTACAATGATCCCCATAGGTATGCGGCATTTTGTTTTCAACATCTTTTTGGTTTGTTTACTTGTGTCATTTGCGCATGTTTTTTTTCTTCTGTAGAAAAACCTTTATTTGACTAATTGGGTGTGTTTCTTTCTCCTGTTTGTCTGCAATTGACAATTATTTGCATGTGCTTGAATTCCGATAATAATATTTTGTTTACGTATTAAAGTTTTGACTAGGAAGTCTAATAGTAAACTCATAACCAACAAACATTAACTTTTTTCAAGATCCAGTGAGCTGACCTTATTTCTTGCTTCATGCTGTTCCTTGAGTTGCTTTCCATGCAAACCACTTGCTAAATGCCAACAGTATCTTTGGCTTACTATTTTTTGATAATACTGGTTCAACTTCTTTATTACTTTTGTGTGTGAATATTGACCCCAAGTAATTGAGGTATTGCAAAGTTTACATGTTGGGAATTACATGTGATTGAAAATCCAAATTTCATGAACATGTGTTTCCTGGCTAGTTCTTGGGAGGCATCTGGGAATTAAAAACTCTTAATTCCTATACTACAAATCTAAGACATTCTTTAAAGGTAGCTTCACTAGTTCCTCAAGGAGGAACTTGCCATGCTAGTTGTCTTTGCTGATGTAAATGATGCAAAAATTGGAGGTGGTTATTGGTGCTTCTGAAGCCAAATATTGGTCTTTCTTACATGTTTTGATTTTCAAATTTTGGCTTTGACCTTGTTGGTCCTACAATGAATTATTGTTTTTATTAAGATAAATTATTTTCTTTTCTATGGAAAATATGGATGCTGATTGTATGTTGCAGCCTAAGTCTGTTTCTTTTCTGCCTATTTTCTGGGTATGTTTAGTGGTACATTATGGTTGTATCAGGCATCCGATACTTATGATACACCTTGTTGCCAAGCTTAAGTCCTTGTTCCTTTTCCATCTATCTGGTGGGGTTTGTTTAGTGTGGTGCATCAATGTTGTGTCAGATATGGGATACTTTCAATACACCTCATGGTCAGGCAATTATTTACCGCACACCTTTAATAGGGCCAAGCTTGATTCTTATTACACCCATGTTCTTATTATGCAACAAGAGTCTTTTACATGACTTGTGGGTAATCGCATTGCAGTTGAAGTGCAAATTGTTGCTCTGATATTTCTTGTTTCATGTTCCATGTTTGAGATTGATTTTTTGTTTCGAGTTCCATGTTTGAGACTACAGAAAAGTGAGCATTTCATGCTTTTCAAATTCATTTATGGTGTAGCCCTTGAAGGTGCTTCTTGGCTTTGGTTTCACTGTGACATAGTTGGGTTGATAGTGTAGTCGAAAAAGGATCAAATTCTTGTGTTTTACTTTTCAGAAGTAGGGATTTATTTATTTCCTACCTTTTTTATTTTATTGAGAAACCCTTTAGTTTTCACTTAAAAGATCTACTGAACTTCATGTGGAATGAGAGATTCAGTCAACTGCAGTCTCTTCTTTGATATATAACCAATGTGAAGATCAGGTCTTGCACTAAGAAAATTATAACCTGGGTAAATAGACTATAGAAGTATCTTAAATGTTGAAGGATCAAATAATGACTTACCTTCCTCCTTCCAGCTTTCATTACTCCTTTCTGAGCCAATGCACTATGCTTTTAACTGAATGTCTGGTGACTTGCTGCCTGTAGGTGCAAGTCTGATGGAGCGGACCAAAATGCTGAGTCACTTTAGGAAGTTATGTCTAGTGTATGAGCTAGGTTTAGGGCGCAGAAAAATGGTAAAGCACAATACTAAGGTGTCTGGTTCCATGATTTGGTATGAGAAGTAAATGTTACACTATCCAAATAGAAAAGCACTACTTGATACTCTCGTGGCATTGCCAGCCATGTGATCAACTTTTTCGCAACATTTCACCGAACTTTTATCTTCTCTAGTCTAACAAAGTCCACAATCCAAGTTCACAGTTTCAACCATAAGAGAAGTCAAAAGAGGTAGAAAAGTTTTGAGAAGATGTTTTACAGTTGAGAGGTGAAAGAGGTAGAGAGCTATTGGGGAAGAGAGAGTTTGTATGACTAATTCCATGCATAGATGTATTATATTTTGAATAAGCTATTCAAAGAAGCTTATAACCATCATACCATGTTTTAGAACATATTATCACACATTTTTTGTTTCCAAGGTGATCCATGCTCAAGGCTAAACCTGGTCAAGATCATGTATAAGATAATTGAGGAATGAGTGATCATTAAAGGTACGTGACTTTGAAGTAAGCAGACATCATAGGCATTAAGAATAATGATTTTGGTACTCCTAATGTTTTCTTAAAAGTTTATGATCACAGTTGCATTTACTAGGTTTCAAGCAGAAGTTATCCATGACTTTACACATACATGTATGCAGATCCATATGGTGTCAACTTTGTATATTCTTTCACCCATGCAGATGTCAGCTTTATTATTTATGATTGTGCATGGGGAAGTCCCTATCTGCAGCTGTTGTTACATTTTCTGTCTGCATTCTCTAGGATGGAGGATAAACCATGACTGATGAATTTCATGTGAAGTATTTATCTTAATCTCCTAAATGTTACGAGGATGGCACCGATTATTAATGACAGTAACTGCACAGTAAGGTTGCATGTGATTAGATCTGTTATTGTCAACGAGTAATAATTAGAGTTTTCAGTAAGTACCAGAAAGTGACAGTATAGGCACTTGATGATTTCTGAGTATGATCATGGATCTTATGCCTGAGCAAATTTCTCATCTCTGCTTGCCTAGATTCGTTTACATGAAACAGGAGAACTTAGTGGCTGAGCAAGTAAACGGTTTAGCAAAAGAACATGAACCTTTTATTACTAGTGGACTGTCTAACTGATTGTTTTATTCACGATTGTTTTCTGCATTGTTTTATATATAATTGCTAGATGAATTGCACATAGCAAACATTGTGTTGGATATTTATGTATATCTGACAATTCTATGAAGGTCCAAACTTCACCCTCAGTGCAAGGTGGAGTGGACAAAGATCCCATATATTTGTAGTATTTCCTTATTCCCTTTCTGATATGCCTTTTAAGAAGTTTCTTTTCATCCATTTTCATTTCTAGTTTTGTTGCTTAACTACACAAATAAATTTTATTAAATCTCTTTACATCTAGGATGAGAATCTTGATAAAACTTCATCTTAAATAAAATTTTATTGCTTCCGTATTCTTTCGCCCTAAGATTGGCTCTTCATTTTTATTGTTATTATTATTCTGATTATATCTATTTTTCTTTGTGTTTATGTTGTAACAGAGAGAAGATAGAAGGCATTAAATTATAAAACTTGTTCATCGTCACCACTCTGAATCTCTCAATCAGTTTACAAAGTCATATATAGAAAGATCACGCATTTGTACTGAAGAATTAAGTTGAACTTTCTTGTATACTTAGCATCACCATACAAGCTTGGTTTTTATTTTCTTAAAGATTGCATGTATGCATGCATCTGATAACACCAACTAGGTGATACTTTGAGACAAAGGGATTGAATTTGCTGGGGTCATTGCTATCAAGGATGAATTCATTGTAATAGCAACAGCCAAAGAAGGGATGGCTGGCCTTGGCAGCTGCTTGCAAATCTCTTCAGAAACATTTTGTTATGGTTACGCCTCTTTTGAGGAATGCAAAACAGAGCGGTTAGAGATCCATACATCAATTTTGTATGAAAAGGTTGATGGTAAGTAGAGTTATCCTCTTTTTGCATTCCCATCTTAAGGACTAGGGATGTGCCAGGCTAATTAAGTTATAGATATTGCCTTTTCTTTGTGGAAAAAAAAAACATGGCAAATTGATCTTGGGAAGGATCAAGGCAAAAGGTAGTTGTAGTCTATTTTGGGTGCTATACTCGGTTCAAAAGACGAGAGGTCAAAGTGACCATCACATTTTTGCTTGTGCTTCATGCATCCTACTTTAGTTGCTTTGTCGTACCGACCTCTCACGGCAGATACGATGAATTTAGTCTGACTTGACCCACATTTCAAGCAGGACATGTCAAAACTTAACTTGGTCGTGGATCTTAGAGAAAAGTTTATCGGAATGGATTGTTCCGAGGTGTCTACAAAACTAGCTGTTATAAGTGCAATAATCAAGTTAAGATCAATCCAATGCACGAAAAAATAAATATTTTGTACAATCAAGAGCTTATTTTGGACCTAATTCTTTGGTACTAACTGAGTATGATTATGAAATATTTACCATCTTAGATTTAATTGAATGTAGCATTGAATATTTACCATATGAATCTCTGTCTTACTTAGTAAATGTGACTTGGCGGCGCGTGTTTAAAACGGGTTTGGTTGTGTACCGCATTGTAGTAGTCCTCAACGTCGAGCGATGGGTCAACGGTTGACAGCTGGTTGTTAGCGACCACTTAGCTGGATCGAATCATCCCGCCAAAAATTCCAGGGGTGATTCGTCGGTCCGTGAAGATAGACGTTTTCTTGAAACAATAGACGAGGTCGTCACAATGATCACATTGATTACAAGACTGGAGGCGAATTATGACGAATAATTTCCGCACAAAACAAGAAAGATAAATTAATCTCTCTTGTTGGTTCGCGGAACGAGTCCCTGAGAGAACCTGAGATCGTCTTCTGATCTCCATTCTTTGTCTAGATATGATGATCCATATATACCCATGTAAATATTCTCTCTCTTTTGTCCTTTACATCTCCCGTGGCCCTAACTATCCTATCCTACGATTCACAAATCAGAACATAAATACTGAAAACGTATATATAAGTTTTTTTATTTGGAGGGGTTTTACGTCTCCATCGTTGCATGTTTGAAAAATAACTTTTTTGTGGTCCTATGAATTTTAATATAGCCTACCATCAACATTCGGCCAAAAAAAAATTCAAGTCAAACACTACCAACCATCATATTAATTATTTGTGTTTTGAATTTTAAAATATTAAAATTATACATACAAATATTCCTGGTAATTTTTAATGATTTTGATTTTTTTTATAAATTATTAATTAACTTTACATAAAGGATATGTGACGAAGATGAATTGTAAACATATAGATATAAAAGTTATTATATATGTATATATATATATATATATATATATATATATATATATATATATATATATATATATATATATATATATATATATATTCAGTCATCCTTTTTCAATATTTGGCAGGTTTCAAGGCGACGGGTCAACCGTGACTTCTCTCGTCCACCCATTAGCAAACACTAACTTACGTTACTCGGTGCCCGGACAAGGCTCACCTCTCCACTGTCCACGCCTCTGAACACTAGGCGAGTATAGCGTCGGGTACGTGCCAATGGTCACTAAAGGTATTTTGTGATAGGAAAACGCACGCCAGAGTTCTACCTACGTTACGTGCACCACCACCGCTCTGTAGCAGAGTCCACTGGAGCCCAAAAGTGGGGCCTGTTTGCCGACTAACCATCCAGAAAAGTGCAAGCGACGGGGTCCGCCGTTGACGAGGACAATTAGTGTTTTGTGAATAGGGAAAACGCACGCCTGAGAGCTTACGCGCGCACATGCGACCGCAGCGGCTGGGCTGACCCACCGATTCCAGAAGCCTAAGAATCTATCCGGTGATCTCCACCGCGAATTGTAACCAACTCAGATCGTACGGTCCTTATTTGCCCAACGTTGCCCTACGGTGAATTTGCCCACCCGATCTCAAATCGGCGTTTCATTTCCGAGAAGAAGGCGGCCACCCATTGGTTGGTCTAATTCCAGGGTTGCCTAAATGCCACCCACTGTTCTCATAACCAGAGTAAACATAATTCTTAATACGTGTAGTTTGATTTGACGATTGAGGGTATTTTCGTACTTGACGAGGCTATAAAGGCCGAAGCGAAGTGGCCTAGTAAACGGGAACCGCCTGCCGTTGCGCTCCGCTGCAGGATCACGCAAGCGAAGGACCTTCTCTGCTTGTCGTCTCCGATCCGTTCCTTCTCCTTCTCGATCGAAACCTCGATCTTCGATGGATCTCTCAGATAGATCTCGCCAGTCCCTCATCCCCAGCTTCCTTTACTCCACCGCGGCCTCCCGAACCATCGGCCTGGAGCGGAATATCTTGGGGAGGAGCCCCGTCTCCAAGGCGGCTCCTGCCGCGACGGCGAATGATGGCGCTTTGATGGGATCTGTGGTTGCCCAAGCGCCGAACGAGCCAGGGAAGATCAAGCTGTACTCCCCTATGTTCTACGCCGCCTGCACCGCCGGTGGGATCGCCAGTTGCGGCCTCACCCACACGGCCGTCACCCCGCTAGATCTCGTCAAGTGTAACATGCAGGTGATTCCCTTAATCCTTGATTAGATTTTCCTCTTGGATCTTGGATGCGGCGGCCGGAGATCCGCTTTTTTCTAACATTTGGCGATCGGCAGCGTTGAGGATCTGATTTTTCCTGAGATTTCTTTTTGGGGTTTCTTTCGTTGATTATTCCGCTACAACATCTCGCGATCTTCCCAGATCGTATCTGTGTTTGGAGGGTTATATGAATTTAACTGCTTTCGATGCATCTTTAAGAGTATCTAATGTCACGTTTGCATTTTGGCTTCTATGTGGATTTTATTTCTCAAATAAAGTTATTTGATCATGAATATTACATGAAAATTATCAGATTGACCCATCGAAGTACAAGAGCATCTCCTCAGGATTTGGTGTCCTCCTTAAAGAACAAGGCGTCAGGGGATTCTTCAGAGGCTGGGTGCCAACCCTGCTCGGATACAGCGCCCAGGGGGCGTGCAAGTTTGGATTCTACGAGTTCTTCAAGAAGTACTACTCTGATATCGCTGGACCTGAGTACGCTGCCAAGTACAAGACTCTGATCTACCTCGCTGGCTCTGCTTCTGCTGAAGTGATTGCTGATGTCGCTCTCTGCCCCTTCGAGGCAGTTAAGGTGCGGGTCCAGACACAGCCAGGGTTTGCTAGGGGTTTGAGTGATGGGTTGCCCAAGTTTGTAAGGTCTGAGGGCGCTTTGGGGTATGATCTTTTCTATTCTTGTTGCTTTGCTTATCACTTACTTGATCCTTATCTTTGTATGGACTATTCTTATTATTGTGATGCCCTTTATGCAGATTGTATAAAGGATTGGTCCCACTTTGGGGGCGTCAGATTCCTTGTAAGTAAATTTTCCTTGCATCATTTCACTATTATTATTTTTTCGATTGTCTTTTATTTTTTGACTGTCTCTTCATGCTAACTAGTATCAACCATAATAGCTGGAAAGGGGAAAAAATGATTCTTGCTTGCTTCTTGTTGTTGTATATGTTCAGTATGATTTCAAGAAATGTAAATTGTTTGTTAACGATCATCCTTAGTGCAGTTCAAAGTTGCGAGCCTAAGATTTAGTGATTTTTTAATTGATTGATTGTTACTATACTGTAAGTAAATAAGTATATTAATGAGTTAGGTGATGCTTGGATATAAAATAGACCGTCCAAAGATTTTGCATTTTGTAATTTTAGCCTGGGTTGTTTTTTTCTGTTAGAAAATCTTGGTAGTATCATGTTAATATTGATCTAATTTGATCCTAGTCACTTTCAGTGTAAGTAAACTTCCTTGTTAGCCTTTGTTATTGATATTTTTATCAACTTATTAAGATGTTTATTTACTGTTTTATCAGAAGTTGGACATGGTCTGGCTATACTGTTTTTTTCACACACAAGTTTTTATATTCTTTTCATTTTAGGGTTTGTTTCTGCAATATTAGTGATGGCGTAGATCATGAAAGCTGACAGAAACCAAGATCTTTTGTATTATAAAATTTGCTGTCCCATAATATTTTTTAGAGCGTTTAACTAATAGTCTAACTTTCTTAATTAGAAATATGCAACCCTGCACAAGTTGCAGTATGTTTGATTATTATTTTTTCTTTAGAGATGTACAGAAAATGTCTTGTCATGATTAGCAGTCGATGTCGTAGTAGTCCATCAGCTCCCTGTATAAATATATATAAATGCATAGTTTATTTTGATTATTATTTTATGAATGATGCCAACTTGTCATTGCCTCATATAAGGTTTTCTTTTTTTTTTTCTGTTACTTTTGTGGTTCCCCTCCTTTCCTAGTTCTGCACATTGTTCTTCTTGAAATCTGACTATGATTATCAAGATTTTATGTGTGCATAGATAAATCTTCCTCTCTGCTTGAGTCTTCTCCAACTTTATGAAAGATGGAGTTGCACTCCAATGAAGTGGTATACAGAGTATGAACTATCTAGAGTTTTGGTCCTTCTATTGTACTATTTCTAGAAGTCTACAGATGTTGTTAGTTTTCCTATGTTTTGACTAGTGCACTCCAATGAAGTGATTTACGGAGAATGAACTATCTAGAGTTTCAGTCCTATTGTTAGTTATTTATCTTGATGGTATATTTTGATATATTTTGCTTATGAAAAAAGGTTAACAAACAATAGGTCTTAGTATTCCTATGTGTT